CCTCTCTTTTTATTTATTTGTTATTTTTTTTCTTGGTGTGCTTAGTTTAGTTTTAATGCTTTCATAGTTTAGATTTATTGCTTTCTAGAATAGTTTTTCTTTTGGTGTGTTTAGACTAGTTTTTTTTATTTTTTATTTTATTTTTTATTTTTTATTTGCTTTCTTAAGTTAGATTTTATTCTTTAAAAATAATAAATCCAAAATTACGTTCCAATGAATAATAAATCATGCTTTCTTGTGCCCCTTGATGAAAATTTTTCGAAATTGTTTTGATTCCTAGTAGATGATAGATATTGTGGATTAGTTGATCATGATTTGATATTTGATTGCCTTGAAATCTTAATATGCGTCAATTTTGCCCAACTACTTGTGAATATAGTGCTTGACTAGTTGATTTGGTGAGGAATGTGTGTTAGTTTCTGGTAAATCAATGAAGTTGAGTATTGGTTTTTAACTATGAGTAATGTTTGTATGACTCATTATTATGCACATTGAGAAGGACGAAGGCATTTGTTCTTTTAGGTGGTCTTCAGAAGATATTAGATACATATGTTCCCTTCTTTCTACCCATGTTGTTGCTTGTACCCTTTTATTGTTTATTTAGCCACATTACAAGCCTATTTAAGCCCCGTTGGTTACTAGTCCCAAGCTTGGCTTGGGGGTGCTAATAGTTAGTGAGGTGAGGGAGTTGTAGTGTGCACATAATTTGCAAAATTTTGGGTGGATTTGAGAGGTTATTTTTGTTCTTTTTTTTGTGGATTGGAAAAAATTGAAAAATTGTTGTTCAAAGTTGAAAAAATTCCAATGTGAGATAAAAAGAAAAAAAAAAGAGCAAAAGAGGATAAGTTGTTTCAATGTTCAAATGTTTTAAGTGAGGTCGCTCAAAAGAAGAGAAAAAAAAAATTAAATTCAAAAGAAAAAAATTCAAGTTCAAAGTTTGTTTGTTCACTCAAGTTCTATAATGTTATATTTTGTATATATGAGTGAAGTTGTAAGTGTTGGAAATATTGTTGATATAATTGGTTGTTTGGTGAAATTTTGTATAGTTGAGTTGTGTTGGAGAAGATTTGGTCATTATTTATTTTTTACCGTGGTTTATTAGGATTGGCTCCCTAAAGCATGGCTTTACTCTCACATTTTCCCAAATTTATCCTGCCTTTTACCCTAACCTTACATTACAAGCTTAAAGACCTTCCGACCTTTGTGCATAAAGTTGTATGGATGTGAAAGTAGTTGTTTATTAATGCAAAGAATGATTTGATATATTTCGAGTCGATTACTAGGTTGAGTGCTTGTTTTCTTAAACACACGAGTGTTGTGAGTTTGGGAGGGGTTGTTCACATTAGAGGGGTTGGATGGAGAGTGATCGAATACATTTTATATCCGCCACATAAAAGAGTGAAGAGTGCGTGAGCACTAGTCTTGAATTCCATATAAACTTGTGGTTTGCTCTACTTGACAATGTTTAGGGAGGATGAGTGGTTGGATGGATTTGATTGGTTGACTTTGATGCATATTTGTTGGATTTTCCTTGAATTGGCTATGCTTGGTTTTAATTGATTTTTGGGGTGAAGTATTTTTTATTTGTTCATTGATGAGATCTTTGCTTTGGGACAAGCAAAGGTTTGGCTTGGGGGAGTTTGATATGTTCATTTTATATAGAGATTTACCCCCGTCCCTTGGTCATATTTAGGAGTATTATTGGCTCTTTGGAGTCACTTTTATTACTAATATGCGTTTTCTAGTGTTTCCGTAGTTATGGTATTGTTTAATAGGAAATTGCAGATTTGAAACATTTTCCCGGACTTATTTGAGCCACTACGAACATTGGAGTAGGATCGCATTATTATGACCATATTTCGTAGCCCACGACCGGTTAGAGTCATCAAATCGATGATTAAGGGCTCGGTGAAGAAGGAGAGTTCGAGGCATCGGATCGATTCTTAAAGACCTAAGAGGAAATTTGGATTGGGCTAGTTAAGAGCCCAATTGAGATGTCCAAGTTGCCCAGAAGATTGCCTGACCGGGTAGCCCTCGCCCTGAGGCGCGCCCGGCCGGGTGAGGCATATAGAAGAGAAGCACCCTCCGCCCACCGGCGCGAGCGAAGCACTCTCTCGGCTAGAGGCGGGCCCGGCCGGGCGAACCTCTGCCCGACCAAGCGCGTGCTTTTGAGGAGCGTTTTTGCGACTTTTAATTTGTTTTTAATTAGGATTTTTGGAGCTTAAGTATAAATACGTTTTGTTAAGCAAGATTTTGGGGGACGTTTTTTTCATTAGTTAATTTTCCAGATTTTAGTTTTAAGCTTTTGGTTAATACTCTTGTTTTCTCTCTCTCTACACTTAGAGTTTTATGCAATTCATTATTTCCGTTTATTTTGGTAACGATTTCTTCCCCCTTTATTTTCAGTAATTTAATTGCTTTAATTATGTTTCGTTTATTTGCTTTGCTTAGTTTAGATTTAAATATGTGTGAGTAGTTTAATTTCTAGGGTTGTGGGGATCCAAAAATAATATGAAGGGATAGTTTATTATTGTTGATTGTCAATGCTTGATTGATTTCCTATTGATTAATTTAATGCTATGCAATTAGATTTGGCCAGGTTTAATTGTATGAGTTATGCAATATTAATTCGAGATTCGAGAGATGAGAATTGATGTTTAGGCTTAGGTTCAATAGGCAGGTTAATTTATAAATGGTTAAGTCAAGATTGGAGAGATGCGATTTAATACTGGTAGATTAATTCTGTGATTGTAATGCGTAGCAAAAGCCTTCTATGATCTGATTAATTGATGCATATGATGATTGATTATTGTATTTTACCCTGAAATATTATTTATTGGTGAACCTATATCCTAGCCTTTGATTTATTAATTTCCCCCTTATTTAATTTGCTTTAGTTTAATTATTTTCCCTAAGATAATTTTCACATAATAATAATTCGGTTACTTAATAGTTTTGATTATATTAATTATTTAGGAATCGAAAGACTTGTTTCCCTGTGGATTCGACCCTACTTCCCTATCAACTTTAGTTAGAGTACTTAGGTAATTCTTTTGATTAGGTGATATGACTTTAGCCTTTCAACCACCAGTTTACCTCCCTACCACCCTCTTACCTACAACCAGCGCCTTCCCCACCCCGACGACTAGCCATACCGGTCCTCCATCGCCGGTCGACCCACCCCATACCTTTAATCCTTACCTCAACCCTCTCCCTTTCCCCATCGTGCCACCAGTCAAACCCTAATCCACGAAATCACTCCCTAGCTCCAATAAAAAACCCAATTTTTGTACTTTTACTCCTCCAACCTGGTCGATTCTTCTCGTGGGTGGGTTTTGGTGTGGTTGAAAGGTTTTCGCAGGTTGTAGGTAGATTTTCGGGAGTGGCGGTTGGTTTGAGAGGTTGTGGGTGGTTTTCAATTGTTGTGGTGGGGGTTGTGGATGGGTTTTCGGGAGTAGTGGTGGTTTTCAAGGGTCGTGGCTAGAGTGAGGGGCGGCGCCAGCGCAGGGGAAGGGGAGTTTGGGAGCCGACGACAGGGTGGAAGGCAAGCTGGGGGCGGTGTGGGGGCGGGGAGGATGGCTGACTGGCTGGGCTTGGGGTGGTGGAGTTTTTTTTTTTTTAGTTTTTTTAAATATTTTTTTAATTAATTAATTAATTTAAATAAGAACCACTCAAATGCTGCCACATGTCACAGTTAACGTTAATAACTAACACAGAAAGTGGCATGTTGTACCATTTATGTTAAACTCAGTGGTACATGGTGAATTAGAAAATTTTTGGTGGTATACCGTGAATTAAGTTAAAACTCAGTGGTATATGGTGAAAAAACTATATAAATAAATAATTATTGGGTTTTCAATTAAAATACACCTTTTTAAATATTAAAATGTTATAAATAATTCATTTCAAATTATTTAAATACGCCATAAAATAATACTTTAAATTAATATACGTATAAAAATACGGGGTATTACAAGAATAAACCCAGTGCACCATAACTTATTGTGCACCCAACCATCTAGTATATCATACGAAATGTGATTATATCATACAAAATGTGAGTATGTCATTACCAAAGTGATTATATCATTCAGAAACTAATTATGTAAATGTATTATTCGAAAAGTGAATTTATCTTTTAAAAAAGTATCAAACAGTAATTAAATCATTCGAAAAAAAATAATTATATCATCCAAAAGATAATTATATCATCTCACTATATTGTTTAAAATACGATTGTATCATTCAAAATATAACTCACAAGTCATAACAAGATTATTATGTCATCTAAAAAAGTGATTATATCATCCAAAATGTGACGTGTAAATTTTAGGTATACAACAATTTATTATACACCAAGTCCATACAAGACCTGCTAACGAGTGGAATATCAACTTGCGAAACCTTATTTTGAAATTTGAAAAAGATATAAAAGAAACCCCGTCATCTTTTTAATAGGAAAAGAAGAATACAAAAGCAGACTATGGACTAAGGATAACATTTCACCTTATTTTTACGTTAACAATATTCTTTCCTTTTAAAGCAGTTAATTAATTTAAGTTATACTACATCCTCTCCTGAAAGATATTGACACTTTGATTTATGTGTCCAAAGTTAGAAAGCTTTGAGCGTATTTCAAATAATAGTTATATTGAATCTTGTTTAATTCATCACTAAATCCATTTTCCAAATATTAACGGTGTATAATTTGCAATACAAAATTAAATATATTAATTGCTAATGATTGTTAGAGTTCATAGCAAGTGTAATGAACTTTCAAAGACAAAAATAATAATTTGAATAGTTCGATTTAAAATAAACTTTTTCCCCCCTAACCTGGTTGGACTAATATATTTTCCAAGTCAAACCCTTCCAAACTCTGGCCTTTCATGAATAAGTGAATTTGCAATGTTTTTCATGGCAGCAAAGGGCCAAGGCACTATTCTGGTGGGTTCGACCCCATGATGATGTACGAAATATAGCACAGCGGCGAGCGCACAGACACACAACAAAGGATAATACTAAAATGCAAGCAATTACAAAGGATAAGTTGCAGTGTAATTACGAAAAATAATCGTCCATCCTTCTCAAAAGATTGTTAATTCTGATATTTTCCCCATTAGAAAACGAACCTATAATAGTACAATCTTATACAAGGCGATCACGAAAACAACTTTGAGCTTAGTACAAAATTCCCAGACCAAAACTACTATAGATTCAATTACTGGCCCATGTTGGGAGGTGGGGGTGGTGGTGCTTGCATCTGTTGACCAGGGAAACCATGGGGTGGAGGAGGCGGTTGGTTCCCCATCGAGAAGTTTGACATACCTGCACTCCCAGCTGGGGGAGGTGGTGCACCAGAAGGCAAGGGCCTCGGACCATTGCCCATTGAAGGTGGTGGAGGAGGTGGCGGCATTCTTAGAGGATTTCCAGATGGAGCACTAGGTGGAGGTCCCTGCGGGGGTGGAGGTGGAGGAGCATGCGGAGGTGGGGCAAGAGGCCTCGGTGGGACCCCTGGAGCAGAAGTGCCATTTGGTGCTGGAGGAGGTTGTGGTTTGCTCGCCTCTGGTGGCTTGGCCTTAAAATATAACTGTAACTGCAGAAGTGCACAAGAAGAAGCTCAAAACTCAAGAGTAAATTTGATAATTGAAATAACCACAATGTTGGTTTGGAGGTACTGTTTCCCAATTATACTTGGTAATTTGGTATATTGCAAGAAATGGCGTCTTGTGATCTAGTGAACATCTTGGAAGCAGAATATCAAAGTGAAAAGAATATAAAAATGAATACTACGCAAATCTTCCGTTTCTTTTAGTACACACGTCTTTACTTAGGTCACTATTCATATAATTTACTCTGACCTCCTTTTGTGATTTATATTTAAGAAAACACATCATGTGAGGTCTTTTTAGAATCGTCTCAACGTCTATTTTCCATATACGGAGTACCAAAATTTTATTATTTTTGTTATAGCTAATCAAAGATATTCACACTTGAAGTTATGCATTGGCAAACAAGCCTACAGCCCTAAAAGAAATGAGTCAACGAATATGAAACAGAGGAATTATGATGCCAGAATTTAGGACATACCGTGAACATCTTGGAGTCGGGATCCCAATGTGAGAAGAATTTGGAAGTAGACTTGTCGATCTCTGTGCTAGGAACCTGAATGCATACGCAATTAATATAAACAAGACATCAAGATTGCTACAAGATTTACTTTGTAATTCGTATGGTTTGACAAAGATAACACACTATATAAAATTTACCTTGAAAGCTATAATTTCGTAAGGCTCTGCAGCAAACATGAGATATTGAAATCTTTTGTCAAAAGCTTCAACCCTCTATTCAAGAAGTAAACAACATTAAGATTAACAGCAATTGGACAATCTGTAAAGTTCAAAATTTCCAACATATTGAAATTTACCTGCTCAAAGGAAGACATAAACCGGTGCCTTGGCTTTGAGTTGTCCTCAATCTCAGGATACTCTATCTGCAATGACATAGAGAGATATAAGTATCTAAATTTAGAGCAGAGTACTAGGTCCATAAGCAAATTCTGCAAATAGCAAGCATGCATTTAACAAGTACCTGGAAAAGAAGAGACCTCTGCTTTGTCTCAGGATCAAATTGCTTAGTTACTCGGTATCCAGGTCGACCGATCTTGACTGCAAGGAAGAGAGAAACATTTAGACAATCACATATGGTACAAAACCATTAATCAACCAAAGAGAATGCTACTAAGCACTACCAGTTCCACATAAAACACAATAGCAATAAAGTTACGCAGGAGGCCGCATTATGTTTCACCTACAAGAAAAGGAAGACCGAAATAAAAAATCCCAACAACCCACAAGCTTTAGGATAAATATGAATACCAAAAAGCTAATGTATATTCAACATAGTCACTTCAACCAATATAACTGAAGAAATGAAGGCCTCAAATTAGTTGCCTAAGTTATAAGTAGGCATGGAAAAAATTCCAATATGCTAAACCCAATCACTATTAAACTGACCTAGTTCCTTCGCACTAAATAGCAGTTTAAATTAAAATGTAAAATAGCTATATTCCCTCTATCCGGATATAATAGTCGCATGTACTATTTTGGATGTCTGAAAAGTTGTCACGTTATAATAATACTTCAACATACATGACTTGAACAGGGTGATGGATAGAGGAAGAGAAGGGCACAACCACACAAATACTACTACAAAAGGTATTTTGTTTGCATCAAATGAATCCTTAGTTTCAAGAATAGGATGCTAGCTATTTCCAGGGGCAGAAGTGTAATATGGTCTTTCAAATAAGCAAAGACACATGGCAAATTAAGGCATCAAACTTCAACATTAAGTATAAAAACATATGTGATGTTTTCTGCTTTGGATTTCAAATAATACTGTATAAAAAATGATAGTGCAAACAATTAATATATAAGGACAACAAAATACAAGCATCTTTTCAAAAGGAACCACATACAAATATATAAGCATGAATGCCAAGCACACATCTGACGATAAACATAATAATGCCCATAAAAGTGAAACAAATAGACAATGTTACAAGCATAATTCAAACTCAGATATAGCTACTCAAAATAGAGATGATAAAATTAGCAAAAACCTTTCTACATAAGAATCTTTCCAGAAGAGACCATAATTTTAAATTTGAAAGGGCACATTATCTCCAAAAAAGTAAACATGATGGACCAACAGAGGAGGAAGAACTGGGCTTCACAGTTGTGGTTAAAAGTTTTCAACTATAGCTAGTTGGACACTATAATTTGAAGACCACACATCATATCACAATACAGCAAACAGCATAAAAGCTACAGGGGAAAGGCTACACTCTCCTTGAGAAACCATATAGATTCAAAGGAACTTGAATGACCATTCTTCCAACTCAAACAGCCACATGAATTATGACAGACCTCAAGATAACAACATAAACAATTATACGAATCAAAGTAAAAAGTGCACATCATGTAATGTCTTAGACCTGTGCCAATAATTAGCTCATGTAAATGATGTAATATGCTGAATCACCATTTCCCAGGCATCATGAAGCCTCACATAAGACGACACAGACATCAACAATTAGCCATAAACTATAAAACATTAAAACCAAACAGCATAACATACAAAATAAGTAAATCTCAGTATCTCTCTATCCCCAAAAATTTGATACCCTATCTCTCAGATCCCCCTCTGTCAGTTCTACAATTCTTCTTTGGTTAACTCCAAGGAAATAAGGTTAAAAGAAGTCAATGATTTCATCAGTGTCAAGAGTTTATTATAAAAGCCATGCTTTTTTATTCACACACTTGTGAGTGTTGTGTCTTTACAAGATATAGCAGGTTAAGCTCATTTTACCCAACCAATCCCTATCACCACTTTCCAATCATATCTTTAATTTTTACTAACAGTGAGAATCATTTTGCAACAAAATATAGTTAAGACTATAGAAGGTCCAAGTCCACCCTGGAACGAAGGATATCAAGGAAGCCAGTTGGCTGCATTTGATGAATAACCTCATATCCTGATTTATAAATCCTCTTTCAGGAAGCTAAATGCTACATGATGCCTATAAAATTATCTATCTACTACCAAAAAATTGGATAAGATCGTATGACAATATTTGATTTAGTTAATAAAATTCAAAATTAAATTAATGATGTCACTAACATTGCTCTGGAGTCCAGAGTAAAATCATAAAAGACTCGTAAGTTGTAATATTTACAGGAATACTAGACTACTTCCCACTCAAATCTCCATAGGGAACCAATTTATTGATCCTACTTCAGCTACATGTTCTTCCCCATAATTGGTTATTGATATAATAAGAGTGTATCATAATGTAATTGCAGACTAGATAAAAGATGCCAACATTATGCTTTCATTATTGAAAACGAAATTCTCCACCCATGACCCATTTTTAGCAAGTATCAGAAGTTGCTACAAGTAGCAGAACATAGACAAACAGTTCAAGTAAAATTATCTGAAGTACTCAACACAATTTTAGCAAAAGTATCAGAAGTTGCTACAAGTAACAGAGCATAGACATACACTCAACCCTAGCTCATGACACATATAAAGCAGGGTACATATAGTTGATGCAATAACAATATCAAACAGTAATCTAATTACAGAAAGGGAAACACACACACACAAGACATCGCATTACCAAATCTGATGACATGTGTCCTGAAAGTTACCAAGAACCAACACATATACTTGTATACTACTTCCACATCTGAAAGCTCTTAACTCTTTCCGTTTCAAAAGTGCTTTGAACTTTCACTTTATCCCATTTTTGTCAAACCCCTTGTAATACCTTACCCCAAGGGATGGCAATCAATTTCAAAGTCGACCTGTAACGAAGAAACAGGTTCAATCTGAATCCGATAAAAGGAATTCCTAGTCCAAGTCCATGAAATATAGTCCAGGTCCGGATAGGAGTCGGGTCGAACACAGACCCTACACACTTACACAGCCCCTGTCTTGGTCCGACCTGCTACTATATTGCCATTTCTCTCTCTCTCTCTCTCCAACCTTTTTAACACACTCTCTTACTTTATCCATCTTTTTTTTTACACCCACTTACCACATCAACACACTCTCTCTCCAAATCTCCAACTGCCTATATTTGTGTACAAATAGTAAATATTAAGAACTTTCTACATCAGAGGCAATATATAAGGAGGATTATCCAACCACAACAAAACTAGAAGCTAAGGGCTTTTTTGGCATTGTTTTTTATTTTCAGTATTTTTTATTTTTTGAAAATAAAAAAACAAAAACAGGAAACAAAAATAAGATGTTTTCAGTTATCATGATTTTAATAAATTTGATCAATTTTTGATTAACGATACCAAATGGACCCTTTAATAAACTTTTTAAAAAAGGTGTTCCTATCATAAATCTTTGCCCCTTTGGCCAAATTAATTTCCCCAGTTTATATTCTCATAGTGTAGTTTTATTACCCTGTGTATTTCCATGTGTTTCACTCATTAGACCACCATCATGAAAAGAATAGCCAGGGGTTACTTTTTTTAGAATTTCAAGCGAGGCTAAAGGATTATAGGTGCTAAAGTGTTGAGACTACAAACATGGGTTTGGGTACTAATTACTGAAGATAAAATGAACAGTCAGGGTTAAAAGGACCACCCACATATAACATGAAAATATATGTTGCACAAGACATGGATATGAATGTCCAAGTACATATCTGAGCATTCAAGTAGACAAAGCTTCCTCAAGATATTGTTTGGGACACAGCACAGGTGTTCTTTTCATCAAGAAAGCAAGTACTACTGCAGTGGGATAATATCTAAAAGGATTTAATAAGCAATTCAATTTCTTACAAAATTTCGAAACATGAAGCTGATAATATTATGAGTTTGGGATCCAAAACCCAATAATTTATATGACGCTGACTTATTATTACTAAATCTGTTTAGATACATGAATATAAGATTCCAACTTAACCCTGGACCTCTATCATTTCAAATAGCAGATCTATATCATATAAAGTAATTGCACTCTTCTATGCTGCTTCTTTGCCATCAATCTCGTATTGGGTCTTACAGTATATGAAGTGTCCAATTGTAAGGTGACTAAGGTAAGTGTTGGGTATGAAATCCATACCCTTGTCCAATTGTAAGACATGTCTATGACACCAACATTGGCAAGTTAAAGTAAAACAGATAAATAATACTCCGTCGCTAGTAATGCTGTTACGATAATTATATTCAAGAAATTCCAATTCCCTCTACTGCCTGAAAAATGTGAAAATGCATCAACCAAAGAGTAAACCCAATCCCTTTGAGAATCAACCAGAAGAAAAACCCTCGAAAACTCTTCCCTCACCTCCCAAACATAAACCCTTTCCCTTCGATGAGGTTCAAGCAAAGTTTTCTCTTAGAGCATCAACAAAAATAGAGCCCAAAAACCCTAAAAAACTCCTCTAACCCGAAACATCCTCCCAAACATATCTTTTCCCCCCCAACAAAATTTCTCAAAGAAATTCCCTTATAAAGTAACTAGATTCAACTCTCCAAGCTAAACTTCAAACCTCACCTCACAACCCGAAAAATTAAATAAAATTAACAATTACCCAATTCACCATACATCACCAATCTTCCATTAATTTATCTTAAACAACAACTAAACCATCACAAAAAACATATCCAACAATCTTCAAAAATAAATCACACAAACAGGTCCAGAAAAAACAATTAGGGAAAATTACACAAATTAGAAAAAAGATAAGAGAAAAAGAAAGAAACGAACCAGTTTTACGAAGATTAACTTTGCGTTTATTAGGCTGAGGTTGAGCAGGAGCCTCCTTAGCCTCACGCGCAGCTCTCTTGGCCAAATTAGTCTGATGCCGCTTTCCTTGCGTATGAGCCAAGTAGTTACCCTCATTGTTGTGCAATGTCAAACACAGCTTACACTCGTAACTGTTAGAAAAATCATCAAAGAATCCGCCATTAAACTAGGTAAATTGAAATAGGAATTGAAGAAGGAAGAAGAAGAGAAGGAGAAGAAACCTGCCGAGATGATTGCGCATGAAATAAGGGTCTTTGGCGAGATCGATGGTCTCGAGGGCGAGACGACGGAGACGTTCGCGACGGTCGATGGCTTCATTCTGAGAAGTGGCGGCGCCACCGCTTCCTGGCTTCGATCCCCACTCTCTGTCCATCTTTTTTCTCTTCCTTCACTTCTTCTACGAGTAATCCTAATTGTCGAAAGTTATAATCTCTTTTTTTAAGTCGGTTTTAAGGTGATAATTTCTCACTATATGCTTTTATTGATTCAAAAATAAAAAAGTATATGGCATTTACAAAGTGATTTAAATCTAATAAATACACGACAATCAAATCAAATAAAAAAAAATCTTTTTAGCAGAAGTTGTTTCAAATCGTACATTTTTCATACCCTCTTTCATATCGCTGTGATTTACAGCTTTGTTCGACGAGAGGATCTATCGATTTGTGGTAGTCGTGAAGAAAATTTTTGTCAAATTCATCTAATTGAAGATTTGAAGGATTAACCTCTTTTTCGATCCCGCATAAATTTTTACCCATGAAACAACTTGTACTACACTTAAATCAGAATACAAAAACAAAGAGGCACTTACTACACTCAGACCCACTATAAATTTAGCTATTTCCGGCCTATGAAACACTTTTTTACTTTAAGAAATCTAGAGAGAAAAAAGAGTTTCTTTTTTTGTAAAAAAAAAAAAATAGGTTTTGATTATTCTCCCACCCATTTTTTTAGTATTAAAATTCATATAATATATTTAATAAAAAAAAAATTGACCATATATTTGTCATTCTACCGTCTCATTAGATCATATTGTATCATATTAACAATAAGCTATATATAAATGCACCCCATATTATTTAACAATTTCTTATTTATCTTACTTTACATAAATTTTCTCATTAAAAAAAAAGTTGAACAATCTGTTAAGCTATGTTATTATTACATCAAATATCTAGTTTAGATATTTGTTTTAGAACTTTATCGATTCCCTAGGAATTTTGTTATAGTTGTTAGTTGTAATAGTTCCTTGTATAAATACCTCACACTAAAATAATGACAAGCTGACTTCATTTCTACAATTTCTCTATGTTCTTCCTTCTTCTCTCTCTCTAACTTTCTCTATCTAAATCTGGGTTTGCTCATGGTATCAGAGCTACAAGGGAATTTTGGGTTGATTTCTTCGGCGATTGCTACATAGATGCAAATTTTCATCTTCGATTTCTTCTTCTTGATTCACTTTCTCTCATTTTCTTGATCAATTTCTTAATCGATCTTCTTCAATTGTCTTCGATTTCTTGATCGATTATTTTTCGATTTACGAATTCTTTTATCAAAATTTTTCGATTGTTCTTTTCTTTTATCTTGATTTTGCAATGGCAGCAAGCACTGAAAGTCAAACTCAGAATCTTAATAGCGTCAATTTCGCTGACCCTTACTACCTCTTTAATGGTGATCATCCAGGCATGCAGCTTGGGAATCATATTCTTACTGGTTCGAATTTCTTGAACTAGAGTCGTACTATTCGTATGGCTTTGATTGCTCGGAACAAATTGCAATTCGTTGATGGCACTCTTCCTCCACCTCTTGTTGATTCACCAGACTATCAGAAGTGGATTCGGAATGATTCTTTGGTAATGTCCTAGATTTTGAACTCTTTTGATAAGAATTTAGCTGAGAGTTTCAGGTTTGTTAATTCCTCACCTGTATTGCGGAGAGAGATTTCTGAGAGGTTTGGGCATTCGAATGCACCTTGATTGTTTAAGTTACACCGCAATCTGAGCTCTATTAATCAAAATAATGATAGTGTTGCTGAATATTATGGTCGTTTGAAGAGTGTTTGGGATCAATTGCAAGTTCTTGAAGGTTTTTCTGATTGCACTTGTGGAGCATTGAAATTGTGTAGTTGCAGTATTCTCTAGAAGATTCTAGAAATGGATTAGAGGAAAAAGCTAATACAATTACTCGCTGGTTTGAACAGAACTATGATCAAGTTAAGACAAATTTTTTGAGCCTAGATCCATTACCTACGATCAACAAGGCTTATCATACTCTGCAGCAGATTGAGCAACAGAACAATGTAAATCAGGTGACTAATTCTGTTGAACTGAGTTCTTTGAATGATTCCGCTAATGCTACTATGATGCCTAAGGTCTTTCCTAAGCCTGCTTATCAACAGTATCATAAGGATTTTAAAAGGACCAAATCTTATTCTATTTGTGATCATTGCAAGAAACGAGGTCAATCTATTGATTCATGTTTTAAGCTATATGGTCCTCCTCACTGGTATTCTTGGTAAGGGGCTTGAATAACATGCTGGTGGTACTATTGATTCGGTTAGCTCAGGTTCTGTTGATTCTGCAATGATGGCTGGAATGTATAATGAGTTTGTTAGGATGATGCAGAGTGGCTCATCTTCAGACAATCCTCTATCTTCTGCAGTAGTCAATTTTGCAGGTATTGTTGTTGCTTCTAATGTTGATGCTTTAGTGAATGTGTTTGATAAAAATGCATGGATAATTGATACTGGTGCTAGCTAGTGATCATATAGCTTGGAAATTTGGCATTATTTGCTTCTATTGATAATTTGAAAAATCCAATTAAAGTAGGATTGCTTGATGGAACAATTACTATGGTTTTATTTGTTGGCACTGTTGCTTTAACCCCTGATATTCTCATTCAAAATGTGTTTTACGTACCTATTTCAAACACAATTTTTTGTCTGTTGGGAGATTGTTTGATGAACATCATTTGATTGCACATTTTGAAAAGAGTTCATGCTTGTTTCAATACCTTGCATCTAAGCAAGTGAGGGCAGTTACTACAAGAGTTTCTGGACTATATAAGTTTAATCCTGTTCCTTCTTCTATTCAATCTTCTTCTGCTTTACTTCCTTTTGTTTCTTCTTCTATTGATAATGATGTTATATTGCTTGTAAATAACATCATTACTAAGCAGACACCACCTAGTATTGATATAGTTCATGCTAGGTTAGGTCATGTTTTCGCTAGCACTTTATAGCATGTAATTATTCCTATATCAAGCAATAAAACTTGTGATTTTTCTTGTGAGGCTTGTGGTCTAGGAAAACGCCATAAATTTCCCTTTCCCTATTCTTCCTCTATGGCTGAGTATTCTTTTGACTTAGTACACATTGATCTATGGGGAAAATACAAAAGACCTGCTTTATGTGGTGCTACCTATTTCTTGACCATCTTGGATGATCATACTAGAACAACCTGGACTTACTTAATACATGATAAGACATAGGTTTGTTCTGTTGTTACAAGTTTTGTCAGATATGTCAATACTCAATTTGGGTTTAAAATAAAGGTTGTTAGAAGTGATAATGGGACTGAGTTTATTCAAAGTGCTTATGCTGCTCTTTTTGCTGAAAATGGGATTGTTCATCAAAGGAGTGTATCTGGTAATCCTCACAGAATGGTCGAGTTGAGAGAAAACAAAGGCATTTATTAGAGACAGCCAGAACTCTGAGGTTTCATGGTCATTTGCCTTTGAAATTTTGGGGAGAATGTTTGTTAGCAGCCACATACTTGATCAATCTTTTGCCTAGTTCAGTATTTGGATGGAAATCTCCTATGAAGTATTGTTCAAGAAACATCCTGATTACTCTTTCTTAATGGTCATAGGTTGTTTATGTTATGCTACTGTGAAGCCTAGTGATAAGTTTGAGGCTAGGGCAATGAAGTGTGTTTTTCTTGGCTATCTACATGGGTAAAAAGGTTACAAGCGGTATGATTTGACATCTCACAAGTAGTTTCTCAGTAGGGATGTATATTTTGTTGAAAATGTCTTTCCTTTTAAAGACATTTCTGGTAATATGGAGGTTTCACATACACTCCTTCTTGTTTGGGGGTTTTTTATGTGTCCTACGGGAGAGTTACAATTTCCTAGTATGCTCCTTCCTTAGCCTGTACCTGCACAAATAACGGAATACTCCGGCTGGGGCTGGGGTGTTCCGCCTACGAAGATTAAGTCAGTCTCTTTCTAAATGAGGAAATAAGACAATAAATGCTTCTCGATTTGAGAGCGTTTGCAAGGGGATTTGTGTTTTGTTTGTTTTTGGGAAAATATTCGATCCCCATTAATGAGGTCTGCCCTTACTATTTATAGTAGGGGAGAGTTGTACCTCAATTAGAGTTCAATGACACGTGTCGCAAAGGGATTGGGCCTTTGCTGACCGTTGCAAGATTGACACGTGGCAGGCCTTTATTGGGCCACGTGTCTTAGGGTATTTTTACCCTAAACATCTGCCCCTCACAGGTGTGACGTGGAATGTCCACGTGTCACCTGTGACAAGTGTCAGACGCATAGGAGGAGACGGTTCGTCTTCTTCCCTCCTTTTTTCAAATTTCAAGTTTTTAGGGCAGAAGGCATCGTTTCGCCTTCTGCTCCTTCTCTATAAATACATGGCACCCTCTCTCTCCTCCACACTTTGCATATTTTTCAAAAATTTTCTGAGAGCTCTGATATCGGCTGCATTATTTCCTAAGTTTTCTTGCATCCGGCACTTTCAAATTAAGTACATTCGGCGACCGGTTGGGTGCCCTTTCTTCAGTCTCTAAGGTACCGGCTGCCCTTTTTCTTTTTACTTTCGCTTTTAACGATTTTGAACGTTTCACCCCATCCGGGTTGCATGCCGCCTGGGGGGCCTTTAACCCATATCCCATTGTTGAATCTTCTCCCTCAGCCGGCATAGCCCTGTCTGAGGGGTCTTCAACTTTTAAGCGTTATGCATTCTAAACACCCCCATCCGGCTTAGCACCTTCTGGGGGTGTTTGAACCTTCCAATAGACTTATCCTTTAACACCGCCTGGGGTACTTCTGAGTTTTTATCACGAAACGATTTCAAAAACCCCAACCGGTTTTGAAGCCGGTTGGGTCATCATCCTTGTCTCTTTGGATTTTTCAAAGAAATTTTTAAGATGCGTTCAATGCACCCCCATCCGGAATTTTGCCGCATGAGTCCTTTTTGAGCGATCTATTTTATTACTCAAACAAGGTACAAATAGCCCTCGTCCGGTATTTTTGCCGCATGGGGGTTATTTGAGCAGCATTTGCTTGCTCAATCAACATTCAAATAGCCCCCATCCGGCATCTAACCGTATGGGGGTTGTTCGAGTTGCCCTGGCTTTTTCTCAAACATCCAAATAGCCCCCATCCGGCATCTAACCGTATGGGGGTTGTTTGAGCAGCCTTGGCTTTTTCTCAAACATACAAATA